TATTTGAAACCCTACAAAAAGGGACTAGGCCTTCATCTGAAGCCAAAAAACTTGAAGTGAAACTACCACGCCGAGCGTTGACCGATGCGGATCTGCTAAAGTACGCCAAGATCATGAAGATTCCATATTTTCGCGGAGTCTTCATGCGGAACGCTATGCCGAAGGGTGGACCGTACGAGTACGAGTCGGCAATCGTCAATCTCGACGACGAAGATGGTCCAGGAACACACTGGGTCGCGTACAAGAAGCTGAACGATCGAGTCGTTTATTTCGACAGTTTCGGCAATCTTCGACCGGCGCTAGATCTTATCGGATATCTCGGTGTTGGTAGTGTAAAGTACAATTACGAGCGATATCAGCAGTACGATACTTTTGCATGTGGACACTTGTGTCTGAAGTTCCTATGCGGACAATTAAATCGTAAAAATAAGTATCGTCTATATAAGCTTGCTATGTAATTTCGCAAGGTCAGTCTAACGTTCGCAATCATGGAAGATTCATTCACGTTGACTTTATCAGGCACCTCATCTATACTGGAAGCCGGATACTTTCCTCCTATCGAGCTTTCCCCGTACAAAAATTACGCTGTGGGGCTCATCGAGTTGCTGACGTTCAATTCCATTCCCAACGTGGACACGGATCACAACAAGCTCTACGTGGGAGATGAAGTTATCACTATACCCACTGGTAGCTACGAGATTGAAGATATCGAATACTACGTGCATAGCGCGTTGACGGACAAGAGCATCGTCATTCAGATTAAACCTAATAATAATACGTTGTGCAGCGAAATTAAGTGCAACCGTGATGTCGACTTTCGACCCAACGATTCCATAGGTCGCTTGTTGGGCTTCACTGAACGCGTTCTGAAGGCTAATAAATTACACACGTCCGACGTACCGGTCGCCATTCTCAAGGTGAACGCCCTACGAGTCGAATGCAACGTCACGACTGGCGCTTACATCAACGAACGTAAAGTGCACACCATACACGAATTCTTTCCGGTCGTGCCACCCGGATACAAGATCATAGAGGTGCCATCACACGTCATTTATCTACCGATCGCTACCAAGACGATAGATCACCTGCAGCTGCGAATAGTCGATCAAGACGGGGATCTGGTGAATTTTCAAGGAGAAGTCATAACGATCAGGCTGCACGTCAGATCCATGCGATAATGGGTATCGTCTATAATAGAAAAATCGTCAATGGTTATAATAGTAGGCCGATATGCCAAAGGAGGATCAGTCGTCAACCGCTTCTCAAGGCGCTAACACGTCGAAACGTCTTGTTTCTGGAAAATCTAGGATTCAAGGTCACGAGAGGAAAGTAAAGCGTTTGTTCTGTTGCGTTCTTTTCGTCTGCCGCATACCATGGAGGAAGAAACGCTGAACATTCAGACACCGATCGTCTTCGATGAATCTATAGCACACAATGAAACGCACGCACATCAACCTTACGCCTCGTCAACGTTCAACAACAGCGACGAGGTTCGAATCTCCGTTCAACATCAAGACCTATGCTTACTACCGAGCAAAAGTTCGCTGCACGTGTATGGAAAGCTGGTCAAGGAAGATGGGTCCACAGCGACTGCGAGCACGACTCTGGTAAACAATGCCATTTGCCATCTCTTCGAGGAGATTCGCTACGAAATTAATGCTATAGAGATCGTTCGGAACAAGAATGTTGGTCTCACGAGTCTCATGAAGGGATATGTTTCCCTGAGTCCCGGCCAACGATCCTCGATGGAGAACGCCGGTTGGCTCGACGTCAGAGAACGGGAGAAGTTGACCAATGCGGATGTTTATTTCGACGTATTCATTCCGCTGAGTATGATACTGGGTTTCGCTGAAGATTATCGCAAGATCGTCGTTAACGCTAAACATGAGTTGATTCTGACGAGAGCAAAGAGCGATGTCATTGCAATAGTGCAAACTGCTGCGAAAGAATGCAAAGTCGTAATTCACAAATTGGAATGGTTGATACCGTAAGTAAAGGTGTCGAATCGACGAAAGATACAACTGCTGAAATTCATCGAGAGAGATGCACCCATCTCCCTGAGTTTCCGTACCTGGGAGCTGTACGAGTACCCTCTACTCCCCACCACTTCGAAACACGTGTGGACCGTCAAGACGTCGACTCAGTTGGAGAAACCACGATACGTGATACTGGGTTTTCAGACGGGCAGAAAGAATAAGAAAAATAAGAACGCTAGTCACTTTGACCACTGCAACGTCAGAGACGTTAAGCTCCTTTTGAATTCGCAATGTTATCCCTATGGAAATCTGAATCTTGACATTGATCATAATCAGTTTGCCCTGCTGTACGAGATGTATGTAAACTTTCAAGCTACGTACTATGACAAGGATCCCGAGCCTTTGCTTAAGAAGAATGAATTTCTCGAGTACGCTCCATTGATCGTTATCGATTGCTCCAAACAAAACGAGTCACTCAAACTCGGACCCGTCGATATTCGTCTGGAATTCGAAGCGCAAAACAATTTCGCTGCCGATACATCGGTATTCTGCCTGATCCTGCACGATCGTATAGTGGAATACAACCCAATCAGTGGTGGGGTGATGAAATTGGTATAAAGACGCTGTAATCGTAGCCCCCTGTGCAGTTCATAAAAAATGGAATTTATCGTGGACGTACAAGGTTTCAAGAAATCCACGAACGAGTTTGTCCTGAAGGAGCTATCCGAGATTGGAGTCGACAACAATTTCTCCGAACCTGCAACGTTCCTGTTTCAACCACCTTGTCCATGGAAGCATCTACCGGCTAAATACAAAAGTATAAATTTATGGTTCGAGCGTAATTTTCATGGTATATCCTGGAGCGCTGGGGACATTGCTTACAATCAAGCTAGAAACATTCTTCGAGTTATTCTGCAAAATGCATCTAAGATCTATGTAAAAGGATTGGAGAAGAAAGTTTGGTTGGGAGCTTTCATTGAACGAACCGAACACATCGCGGATCTGGGAGATCTGGGATGCCCTTCGCTGCAAAATCTGCGAAAGAACTTACTCACTCGCTGTTCGCATCATCATGCCTCCCATTTCCAATGTTCGATGGAAAACGTTAAATTATTAAGGAATTGGTTGTTGTTGGAATGTATTTTTTGATTGTGAATAAAGACATAAGATATAATAACAAGTTGTATATATTTATTTAACACGTATACATAGTATTAAGAGTACGATTACAAACGTTGCTTCAGTGGGATGAGGAGGGTGACGCGCGACCACTGCGAGATAACGTTCGAGGTCGAATCGCCTGCCGTCCGAAATCTGCATGGGAAGGGTATCGTTTTTCCTGGAATCAACCTCGACGCAAAAGTCGCCGAAACCGCTTTTCGGCACTGAGCTCAAAGGGGATGCCGCTCGTCTCTCTCTCTCTGATTCACCGATGCTACGCACTAACCTGCGCTATGAAGTTAGGGACAAAAGTTCTGGAAAATTCCTGGAGGATTGCATCAGCGATGCTGCGCAATTCTGCGAGATTACGTTCGAGGTCAAACGGGCTGAGGGCTGACGTCCGAAACCTGCACGAACGTGCACGAGTCCGTCGAAGCTTCTGGAAGGCGTTCCGGAGTGGGGGGAAAGGGGCTGTCTCAAAACTTCGCGCGAGAGGACCGTCGGCTCTGGGAGCGAACCTTCCCGACTTAGCACGGACACGAACCGTCGAAGCTTCCAGAATGTTCTAGAAGGTTCTCGATCGTGCGCAATTCCCGGAATCAAGCGCAAAATTCCCAGAATGTGACGCAAAATTCCCGGAATCGAGCGAAAATTCTTGGAATCGAGGGGTCCTGATGACGTCACTTCCGGAAATCGTAGAGCTCACGACGGTAACTTAGCACGGACACCCACCTTCGAAGGCTCTGGAGTGTCGGTATATGTCGGTTACAGGTCTCCTGGTCCAGAACTCTCCAACTTATACTACTCATCCAAATACGAGTATTCAATACGAAAAAACGCCTAAATTTTGCGAGTTTCGCTCGAGGGACTACTACCCTATCACGCGCGCCAAGCATTTGTCCCTCGAGCGCCTCGAGCGGAACTCGCGAAATTTAGGCGTTTTTCAAACGGATAGCGCGTTTTAATCGTTGAAATCTCAGCTACAACGTGGATAGAAATGAAACTTCTATTTCATCTTTTCCTAATGAAAAATGGTGGGGAAGCTTCGGGTGCGCTTGCGAAATCTCGAGATCTCCGTCACGGGATCATCCCCGAGAACAATAATTTTGTGAGAATCTGCATTATCATTAAAGATGATATCATGCAGAAACTGGACCAGATTGGCCGGCGCGTTCGGAAGTTATGGCCATTTAAGTGTTTTCACTTCAAGGGGGTGTAACACCATCTAGAGTGATCCTACAGGTTTTCAATGGGTTTTTTTTTTTAATCCCGAAGGATGCTCTCTCTCGTGCCCTAATTAGAAATATAAATTTCCTTTCGGAACTACTAGATCTCGAATTTTTCAAAAAGTTCCAAAATGCACTTTTTACTCCAACCCCTGCCATTCGGCAATTTTGTATCCGATCGGGACAAAACCTTTACCATTCGAACGGGAAGGAAATTTCCTGAAAAACATGTCTTTGGTTTTTCGAAATCTGTCATACTTTCACAGATGTGTAAAAAAATTTAAGTGTTGCACTTCAATTGGACGTTACTGTATACTGTTATGCCGTCATGAGTTCTTTAGGATCACAAATAAATAATTGCACCGATTTGGAATTATATAGAGAACTATTGTAGTTTATTGAAGTTGGTATAATGTTAATACTAAAGTCGCACAAATCTAATGGGAGTAGGCACAATTATACTAATTATTCACAACTATGAATTACAGTCCAGGACTTCACTCTTAGCTAGAAACTTTGTGATTGACCGCTGTGGCTCACAAAGTGTCTCTCATCGCTTTTATCTTAACGCCTTATACATAGGGTCAGCATTCGTCTAATGCTGACTTTGCGTCTGGAGATTAACTATACGATGAATCCTATCGTGGGGCATAACAATACAGCGAAGAGACTGTCAGTTTTCTTACATGAAATTAACATATACAGGGTGTTCGTTATGAAACGCACTGTAGTAACATCGTTGCATTCCTTGTCAAATTCTAAAAAATACGTGTATTTTCATTTTTTATTTCATATACCAAAATTTTGAGATAATCAAGGTTGATGTTGCAGTAATGCGACCAATCAGAACACGTTTAAACGGAGCGTAGATGACGTCGCGAGCCAGCCCGCAAGACCTGCTTGCCCTAGGCCAATAACACTAAGAGTATCGTCGTAATGTCCCTGTTTATCTGCATGTAATTGAATAAGATACAAGAGACGATACTCTTAGTATTATCGGCCTTGTGTAAGCAGGCCTTGTGATCTGACTCGCGACATCATCTATGCTCCGTTTAAACGCGTTCTGATTGGTCGCATTACTGCAACTTCAACCTTGATTATCTCGAAATTTTGATACATGAAATAAGAAATCAAAATACACGTATTCCTTAGAATTTGACAAGGAATGCAACGGTGTTACTACAGTGCGTTTCATAACAAACACCGGCGCACAAGAGGGTACCGCAGTTGAACGGACCTAACAGTCCTATTTTGATTTTTTGTTGTTGTTATTATTTGGATTTGAGAACTGATTTTGGTATTGTAGTGTGGCGACAGGTGGACAATGTGTCCCCCACCCCGAAAGCGGATGAGGGGGGTTTTGCCTTATCGGAGTCGAGACGATTAAGGGGACTCACTCGAAGTTTGAGAGGGAACGAAAGTGATGCTTCGGTAGTCTCGAAACTGTGAGGGCTGCCCGTCGTCACGCTACGGACTTCATCGGTGTATTGCACGGTGTATTGCCATTTGTGAGGAGCGCGGAAAATAATCATTCAAGTTGATCGACGACCATTTTTTTTTCAACGAACCTGCAAGTCACTCTTCCCTAATAAATCTTCATGGATGGGATCACGGGTATCCTCGACTTACGACATATATATTTTTTTTCCAAACAGTACCGTGTCGGAGAATTCACTAACAAGAAAAGAAGGCCTATTAAAATTCTACGGTGAACCTGTTCTTGCTCAGTACATTAATGGGAACAGGACAGTAATTATGGGAATAGCGGACCTCGAAACCTTAGTATTCGACGAACTTCTACGTGTCGTTACTGATTTGCATCGTAATCAGCCGTGAAAA